AAAATAAGAAGGATATAACTAATAAAATGCAAATATAAACTTAATTATAAACAATTAAAAGCCTTAAAAATATTTGCGCAAAACGTTGCAACAAAAACATTTGCCTCACTGATGTAAAAGTCTTCTATCTAATGAATTATTTTGCATGATCTAATGTTGACTAGATATAACAACATAGCAACTGTGCTAAAAATAATTAAAATATCCAATATTTTTTGATGGCTTAAAAGTGCAACATATATGTTAAGTGTTTTACATATATTATACTTTATCAATTATTTTCTCCATTCTAGATTGGAAAATGAGGTTACTAGACACTAGATAACTTTTTAAAGGTCACACATTATAAATTTCAATGCCAGAAGTAATTCTATTATAGATCTCAATGACTGCAGAGCTCATTAACTATACCATCAGATTACATTATCTGAATTCTTACACTTATTTACACAACGGAAGTGACTCTTATGATTTTGACACCATAGGATCTTTCTGAAAGTTTGAATGGAAGTCACTAACTAAAACTATTTTAGTGTAAGAAATTACTACATATGTTAATATTACTACTCCTTCATCTGACAGCACTCAATCTTTAATGATTAATGAATTGTAAAATTGTCTTAAAATTAGTGCATTACTATTTCCAATACGGAATTTTAATTTGTAACATATACATGTTCTAATGGTGTTAAAATATTTCTGTAGAGTCTGACTTTAAATTAATAAAGATATTTGCACTTACGAACTTCAATTCCTCACTAGTTTATAATTCTTAATATGTTTTTTAATGCTCCAACTAATAATATTACATGAAATGTAGAATATGTTTTTTGAAAATTATCTGTTCGCTTATAAGACTTTTGTTTAAAACTTTAAGGAAATTAGTATCAGACTTTTACCTTGTGCACCTGCAAAATGAACATTATTACTCAGCCCGCAATACACCTTAGTCTGACTACAGCGGGGATCATTTCATTAACTAAGTCATATATTAACTTCTTAAGTACAGTTATCATAGAGCACAGTCCCTGAATCACACAGCTGCAGAGATGAAGAACCAAAGAGTGACCTACTCGGGACTGAATCTGTCCAAGGACCCAAAGATGCAGCAAAGAAAATTTAAGGGCAGAAAAATCTTCATTTCTGTAACTGAACAGGAAATAACCCAAGTGGAATTAAACCTCGAAAATGCTCCTCTGGATCATCAAGGGAATGACAATAGCTGCTACTGCAAATGTAAGCAGTTACTAGATCCACAATATAACTGCTCTGGGGTGTACAATTGTGGAGAAGAAGTGTGGGAAAGGTGAGGGAATATTTTTCATTTGTGAGGATCAGAGCTCAAAGTTGGGCTATGGTATCCTAATATGAAATCTGAAGACTAATGTTATTCAGGCATTGTTAAATTTGTAGGCCTTGATCAATAAATCACAGAGCATTATATTTACTGAAAATGCAACAGTGTATTTTGAGAGAAAGATGACCAGAGTAGATGTGGGTTTACAGACCTGAGTTTATCTGTTTGATTCCCTGTACATGTGGGTTGTCTCATATGTAAACCTTCTAAACAACTCTCTCATTTCTCCTTTCTCAGTGTTTCTGTTTCTCTCCCTGCAGCTTCACAGTTACCTCCAGAGAAGCTCACTGCTGAGATCCTGGCTGTCATTTGCATTGTCCTAGTGGGCTCTGTGTTAAAAATGGTAGCTCTTCTTGCCTGTAAGCATATTTTTGAAAGATTATAATAGAACTTTTCACCTTAATGATTGAAAGTGCACCTATACATTTCATAAGAGCAGGGA